AATTCTACCGCGATGTGATTCCTGTTTTCTAGAAACCAAATACTTCTTTATAACTTTTTTTTTCCACTGAAGTAGGCAGTGGTATTTCACTAATCTCTCAGAAGCTCACTAATGAGCAGGTTTTTAAGGAAAACATTGAGACAGAGGAGATTAAAGGAAAAGAAGATCGAACACCTATGCGGCGACGGCAACAAAGTCTTCGTGATCAGCAGTTAGCTAAATCAGCCAATATTTCGAAAAAGGGTAGGTAAATTACACGAATGATTTCCAAAAAGAAACAACAACCCAATGTTTGATCAGAGAAACAGAAAAGAAAGAAAATGTCACGGAGGAAAAAAGAAGAAACGGGGAAAAAGACGTAGCCGGGTAGATCAGTTGATGTTGCGGCAATCGGTGAGTAACGATAATGGATCAAATTTAAAGCGAGACAGTGTTAGTGTAGCTGAGAGAGAGGCGAAACGAGGGACACGCATGGTGTGGTGGTGAACACGTTACTCCCTTGAAAGGACAATAGCGCGTTCGTTCCCCATCGCAGACACCTGCGGTCCGGAGTTTTGCAAATATCTCAGCATCATTAAAGTTATACTTCGCATGACAGTGCCTTCACGAACATTCAAAACATAGCGTGTAATTTCTTTGGCATTTACACATTTCTGCCGAAAGGATACAAGCCTTCTGGTTGTACCGCGCTGAAATTCTAGTTTTTAGCGACCACTCATGATTTTTTCTGGCTTCCTTTTCTTTGTTGAAGTTGGTTTTGGTATTCGCATTTGAATGTTGTTTTAGCATCTTCGTAATGGGGCAGTCTTTTAGGAGAACAGTGAACCGCGTGGGTTGGGAGGAAATGCGGAAGGAGCTCCTCTGCGGCGACGATCGCTGAGAATCCGCGACCAACAATTGGTTAAATTAGCCAATGCTTCAGTGAGCAAGTTGCACTTATAATTTATGAAAGAAAAACGGCAATCCATTATTTGGAAACAACGCCGCATTTGTTGTGAATGCATGTAATCCGTATCTATCACAAGGTATGCGGCTGTAGTTTGTATACTAGCTTTTTAGAACAGATTGCGGTTTACTAGACTTTCACATTGTGAAGATTCACCTTTTTTTGGTGTTTTCGAAGATCTACCAGTCTATAGAGGTTCTCCTCTTCATTCAGTGTATTGAATATGGATGGCTCGTTTCTTCCGAAATTCGTAAATTCTTCTACGGCCGCTTCCAAAGCGCGGAGCATTCCAAGTTGTTAATATAGTCTACTTTGGAATCTAGTACAAACATCGCGTACGTGCATTTTCAGTACGCAGTATCCGGTTTGCGAATGGATTGCGTCTGTTTGCGTTGTTACTTGCTCCGAGTTCTGCTTGTTTTTCTCAGAAATTTGAATATTTCATTATTGTGATTGCGGTTTTAAGGATTCACGCATTCTCCGGTTTCTGAGATTTCGGCTTAATTGCATTCCTGTGTCTCGGCTGGGAGTTCTGATTGCACTCTTGCGCAGTTGCTTTGACTTTTTTCGTGGATAGATTCAGCAGCAAACTCAAAGATTTTTATGCGGCTCTTGAGTGCTTTATTAAAGTGCTTGAGTGCTTATGCTTTATTAAATAGTCTCCAGCTGTATCGGTTACATCCTCTGCCTCAACCGAATATGCTTCGAATTTGTCATCGTTTGGTTTCGTTCGATTCATCTCGGAAAATTTTGCTGCGTAGTCCCTTAGAAGTCAATTTTATGATTGCTCCCTCGATGGTGAGCATTCTTTCATTTTACCTCTATATGCTTTCACATACGAAGTTTGCGTTAGCTGTTCATCGATGGATGACGTACTAAGCCTTCCTAGTTGTTCATTTTGAGAAAAGTTATTATTGTCCCAGTATTTTTAATACATTGCGTAGTGCTTCGGTTTAGAATTGCCAGTGTAATAGTCATGGTAACTTGCAAGAAATGAATATTTTCGTGGAGGTTAAAATTATGAACTCAAGCTGTGAAGTTATCCGACGAACTGGCTGCTACGATGTTGAATTGCGACGTGACGTGCAGCTGTTAGGTCCTTTCAAGCGGCCAATGCACGAGCATAGTGGAGAAGAAGGGCGACGGCGATTTTCACGCGGAAATCGACATGGCCTTGATATGCGAGTTTGACTATATCGAACCGAATGGCTGAGGTTGCTGGGCCAGGTTTCACAGTAACTGTTGCCGTAGCCGGTATCGTACCCGTTGGCCAAGAGTTGCTGTAGTTCCTGGCGTGCCCAGTGAATATGAAGGAGTATCAATGTAGGGCAGGCACATGGCCGTTGTGTCAAGTAGTTTACGTTACAACAGGTTATGTGACAGGAATAAAATAAAATAAAGAATAAAGCTTTCGGCGTTGATCAATCCCTGAGGGATAAGTCGTGCATTCGACTTCATTAAGTATTGTTGGAGGTGATTGAATGTATATCTGGCATTTCAGAATGACTCACGGTGGCCTACCGATGTATTGAGCCAGTGCTGCTATCCTCCCAGAGAAGTCTGGTACCAATTTGCCGACCCCGAAGGGGATGGAAGGCTTGGTGAGCCATGGGCGCGGGAATCGTTCCTATGTATGTGTCGCAGCGGCGCCTCCAACCACTGCGCCACACGCGCCCTTATGACAGGAATAGCAAGTACAAATACACGATTAGCACAAGACATGTTGAAATGAAAGATAGAGGATATTTCATGAGAAGAGCTGACTATAAGACCATTACTTTTCTCGATTTTCTTTTCTTCGTTGAAGTTAGTGTTACTATTGGTTTTCAAACAATGTTTTAGGAGCTTTCTAACGAACAAACTTTTTAGCAAAACATTAAATCAGAAGTGTTGAAAGAAAACAAGGATGGAGTTTCCGTGCGGCGACAATCGCAGAGAATACGCAATAAGTAATTGGCTAAATTAGCTAGTATTTCGAGAGGTGGTATGTATATTACACAAACGGTTCGCAAAAAAAGCAGAAGGCCAGTTTCTGGTTTAGGAACAGTACAAACGACTCTAAACGAGCAAAGAAGGAGCGAGGAAAAAAAACGTTATAACTCTAACATTTCCTAATAGTAATCAGTCGTCGATGTCACGAGTTACAATCCATGTCTACGTAATTGTTTCACAGTGCGTTTTCAACCTTCCCATCCAGATTTAATACTCCATCGATCTGTGTAGTAACTATATCTAAACCTGTTCTTCTTAACTGTTGCATTTTTCGCTCGCAGATCCGCTATTAATATTCTGTCGCGTTTCGACGCGACCATGCACAATGGATAACAATATGTAAAGCAATTGTATAAGATATTTAACCATTGTTAGTGCTCCTCATTGCTCTGTATGCTATCTCTGCCTGCTAGTAACGTTATTGCTTATAGAGCAGGCGAAACGAAGGGCATGGTGTGGTGGTGAACGCATTACTCCCCGGAAAGGATAATAGCGCGTTCGTTCCCCACCGCAGACACCTGTGGTCCGAAGTTTTGCAAATATCTCAGCATCATTGAAGTTATTGCTTGTATTTTTCACACTTGAGTGTCGTTATCACTATTTTTTTATTATTGCATTATTATTGTTATATAAACGGTTTGGTTATCCACGTTTGAGATCCTGTGTCACAGGAAACTCGGAGAGACCTGCACAAACAAACACTTTCACCACAAATAATTTCTCCCAACATATACAAGTCTTTTTATTCCACGGCGAAAAAATTGTGATTTCTAGAGAACACTACTGCTTTTAACTTTTTTCTACGTACTAGCTGAAATTAGTAGGAGGCACTGTTTTATCCATCCAAAGGTAGAACGTTGTTGCTACTATTCCGCATTCCACTCTGCTTCGCCTTGCAAACGCATTATGTTGGAACTTTGAGTGGTTTTGCTGCTGATGCTGAAAGCATTTCGATATTTTTTTGCAACTAAACATTCCATACAAATCGCAACAAAGCTGAAAATGATCGTAAGTAAATTATTGCTCAAAAATTAAACTTTCCATGTCGTTCGTAGGAACCAGCGCTCGTTTTCAAAGAGACCCGATAATGTCGGAATGTTTGGATACTTGCAAAGTTGAAAACTTAACATATTTGAAGAAGAGGCTTATGCTCTCTTACTTTAAAGAAAAGTAAGAACATTTCTGACATTTAGTGTTTACTTTAGCTTTGTTTAAAATTAAAACCCGCAAAGAAACTGTAATTCTTATTGCGGTTGGACAAGAAAACAGTATTGACGAAGATCGGTAGTTTCCAAAAGCTCTTATCTCAATTGACAAAGTTTATTATGAACTGAAATGTGCTTCTTGTGAGGTGTTGTTGTTTTCGGGCTCGCATTAATTGGAGAAAGGACTGATTAATAGGTGGAAGAATTGGCCACCTTCATAATTAGGTGAGAAATCGCTTGGTTTATAGCAGAGTGACCATAGTTATCGCTTTATGACTATTGAGAAAGTTCCAAGAGATCTGGGTTTACAAGGAATCCACTTTCCTGTGAGGTTGTCGCCGTTCAATGCTTTCTCCGTCGGTCTCTTCTTTCCGTTCTTTACGTTCTTACTTACCTGATGCTCCGTCAGCTGAAAGCGACTTCAACTCCGATCTCAGCTGATTTCTCGCCGAGAGTGATAACGAAGACGTTGAAGATGAGGAGAATGTCACAAAACCTTGTGTGTTTTTTGTTGAAAAGGCTAAAGAAAACGAATTGGAGAGAGAAGATGAACGCGCTGATGATGTGGGGAGTGATCTGTTGATTTAATAGTACACTACCTTTGATTTAGGGAGCCTTTCGACACTATTGTAGCGGACATTCCGTTTGTGGCGGATGTGCTATGCATGGCAATATAGTGTTGGCTTTGAAAATTTATAACAAGAGCAATGAACAAAGAGAGTCACAAGTATGCCCTAGATTTGATTCCTTGAGACTCGGTAGTATCCAATGAGTGAGCTCCATAGTCGGATTTCGAGCTGACCACCTTGATGGCTCCAACCTCCGACAGCAATTGGAAGATCATCAAAGCATCGGTACTAGGAGGGCATTTTTGAAAACATGACATGTTGTAAACAATCAAATTCGTCGTCGTTGAGTTCATTCGGACATCCGCGGCCTTCCTCATCTTCAAGATCAAAATCACCAGACTGGAATTTCCGGAACCATGTTTGTACTGCCGATACACCAGCATTACTTTCACCCCAAACTTCCTCAATGTTTCGAGCCGTCTTTTCCGCACTTCCACCGAGTTTGAACTCATAAAGGAAAATTTGAGCAAAATTCGTTTTTGACATCTGAGATTGCAAAACTCAATATTGGTAAAAAAAATTTAACTTCTGAAAAACTATAAAAACATGGTTACAGAAGAGTTCAAGATCGGCGTCTGGTTGCACTGTATGACACCATTGGCTTCTCATTCTGTTGAAGAAGTCAGTAGCAGGATTTCAAGAAAACGTTGTTGTTGTGTGGGTTGTTACAAGGCTGTTGCAGAGCTCTACGATCGGAAATACGCTGCTGAACACGCTAGAAAGGGTTGTCACTGAGGTTGTCCATATGCTATTGTAAAAAGAGTATTGTCTAGAATGCTCGAGTAGACGTCATACAATATGTACATAATCTGTACGAAACTTTATAAAGATTATTTATTGTAGGCAAAAATTATAATTCTTATATAATGGTCTTTGGTTGTAGGAAAGCAGCGAAAGTTGTATGTGGGATTGTAATTGATTTAGGGTGGGTAAGAATGATCTGTGAGTGACCTCCGTCAGTTTTGATTGCAAGCAACACTTACAGGGTGCTATTATTATCAACCACAATGATGCTGAGATATATGCAAAAGTCCGGACCACAGATATCTGCTGTGGGGATCGAACTCGACATTACCCTTTCTGGAGGTAACGGCGTTCACCACCACACCATGCGGGTCACTCGTTTCGCCTGTCTTTCAGCCAGTTGTATCGACCATTGCCATCAGCTATCACCATCAGCGGCATTGATCTGGCAACCTAAACCGGCTTCACATCAAGTCTACTATTATTGTTATTAACCTCCGGATAGGTAATAGCGCATCCGCCCCCACCGCATGTCTGTCATGTGTTCTGCAGTTTTGCAGATATCTCAGCATTACTGTGGCTAGAATTCACATAATACCCTACTGTGAAAATTTATAGTAGGCAGGAAGTAAAAGTTAACATTGTGATTTCAACTATAGTTTCGGCTTAACTGGATTCAATGTCAATTTGTGCTCCCCAGGTCAATACCGTTGATGGGTGATTGCTGATGGCAGCGTTAGGTAGAAAACTAGCTGAGAGAAACGTAAAACGGGTGACTGTGTTCGATCTGGTTCGGAGTCCAAGTTTTGCGAATATCTCAGCAACATTGTGGTTGTGTATCACATCATACCCTGCCCTGAAAAATTATAGTAGGCAGCGAATAAGAGGTTAACACTGGTAACACAATTCTTCCACTGGCATGTAACTTTTTCATACGACACGTCATCACATATACTGTGTGCATCCCATGACTTCTTAACTCGATTCGATTTCCTCACATTCGTCATCCACAAATGTGTTGGAATAACTCGCGTGTTGTTTTGATTGTTTGAGGATTTCGTCTTCTTTATGAATGTCGCAGAATGATGGTCGAATCTATTCTCCTTGCAGTTTGGAGATAGTCGAGCTTAACTGTAACCATGTGGATTGAAGGAGAGCTTTGGGGAGGGGTTCGGACTAACGTCTTTGCTTACTGATCGACGACACCATAAACCCTTCCAGTACCCCCTCCCTCCACTCTACCTCTTTCTCTCTCTTTATATATATATATATATATATATATATATATATATATATATATATATATATATACGTATATTTATATTCATATTCGCAATTTTAAAAGTGTAGCGAGAATGTGGCGACGTTTTATTATGAGGTGGAACAACAAGAATTGAATCCTTCATCCTTAGTACAATGTTTGTGTTACCGTAACAAACATTATTGAAACACTCGGCTTTTTCTGCTTCTTTCGAAGGATTTTCGTTGTCATCATAAAGAGCAGCAGTCACTACAATTATTTTTATACGAATACTCCTTGTATGATCCGATGTACTGTCTACCGCTTGTAATGTTCACTAACAGTGATCCCGCTTTTGACCGAGAGTAACTCTGCGGGACACCAAAAAAGTCATGTGTCAATGTTTTGCTCACTTTGCGGATAGGGGAGATATGATGATCTCTATTTCAGCTGTCTTTGTGAGAACGTAACCACTGATGGTTGGCCGAACTTTGTGGTTATTTTGCTACTTTGTAGCATACGATTTTTGTAGCATGCTCCTTTCTACGTTGTATTCTTGAAATTCACATAATATATAAAGCAGATCGAATAAACGTGGGAGTACAAAACTCTGCTTAAGTGACAAACGCAAATTGCTGCAGCCTATATATATCGCACTTAACATTTGCTCTAGAAAAATATGTCATCAATAAATTAAATAGTAAAGGATACAGCACTCGGTGTTGATCAATCCCTGAGGGATGCACCATGCAATCACCTTCGCTAAGTGTCGCTGGAAGTGATTGATTTCATATCCGGCTTTTACAGTGACTCGCGGTAGCCTACCGATCTATCGAGGTAGTGCTACTATTCTTCCAGACAGTTTTGGTACCAATTTGCCCACCCAGAAGGCATGGAAGGCTTGGTGGGCCAGCAGTGCGGGGATCGATCCCATGCGTGTATCAAGGCACCTCCGACCCCTGCACCACAAGCGCCCATCTCAAGTGTGAAACTGTGGCTGCCAGCAATAAATTATTTATTCAAAATTGAGATGGTCATACTATACTTTCATGTCGAAAAACTCCAGAAAATTCCTGTGAGATCATGGAATCGGATAGTATTCGAACTACAGTGCAATACTAAAAGCAGTGTTCATTCACTGGATAAACAGGTTCAGTGTTGGAGTGTCGTCGTTGGAGAGCCGTGGATGAGAGCTCAGATGGAGAAGTGAGAGCGTCGAGATGAGCGGTTAGTAATTCATCCAGCTGTACGGATTGCGAGCTCGCTTATCGAACATCGTGTACACCCAAGAGTAGGGATTTCTTGGCTGACGGTACATGTCTGCTGCGTAGCGAAATGAACGCTTCCTCTAAAACACAGCAAAAACTTAGCAAAAGCCGTCTTAGAAGTGTTTTTTATATCGAATAGTGATAATGTCGTGCATTCCTTTACCAATTAACGATTAAACTTCTAGTTCCTACTGTACAGTTATGGACACTTCAAATAGTGCATAAATATTTAGTAATGATATTTTGGCATGAAAGCTTAATTAACTCCAACTAGTTCCTTTTAAGCTTTCCATGCTTCCAAGCAATGGTGCTGAGACTGCAAACCCTCACCTGAGTCATCCAGCTATAAGGATTGCTGCCTCCCATACCCTGTTCGACAGCCATCCACGAATACGGATTACGAGCTCGTTTTACGTCTGTCCAGAAGGGCAAAATTTTTGCAACATCTGCAAGAAAATTCTTATTCGGTGCCATTTATAGTTCAATTTTTGGTTCTTCTGTCAGCCAGCTCTTCAAATTAAGACTTTTTCATACGACTCTTTGACAGAAGATTGGTAGTGATGAAGTTCGCTGCAGCAGCAAGTCTGTAGAAGTGTGACATGAATGTGAAGTGAGTGTGAAAAAATTTTCTCCGTCGATAAGCACGTTTTCAACGCTATGCTTTCTTTAAATGGCTGCAATTGTAGTCATAAGAAAGAAGGAATGGATTTCTCCAACCTGTATGATAAACAGAACGGTAATATTTTCTTCCCCTATCAATAAATAATAACCTGTCGTTAGGCTCTATTCGTTGAGTTATCCAGGAGAATTCCGCTTATAAAACATTTGTAGTCAAAAAATATTCCGAGAACATTTGAATTTACTTCAATGTTCACTCGTGAAATTTCAGCACTTTTGTTGGTGTTTTAATTCTAAATTTTATGACTTTATGGAGTTTTTTTAGAACTTCTATCATTTTTCTTTTCCACCTTTTATTTTTACATAACACCATGTCACATATACTACGGCTCCCGGCACTTGGTTCAATCTATTCCTTTCCTCGTGGGCATCATCCAAGTACCTTCTGGAGTTTGGGTCTGGCTGCCATTTGATCATTTTATATCTCCTTATGAATGTCGATGAGCGCTGGTGGAGTCGGTCCTTCCTGGAATTGTAGGATAGCCGTGCCAGGGCGATCTCATGCCTTTACCACAAGCAGTGATAATGCTGTGTGGATTAGAAAACACTTCCAGACAAGTTGCGACCGAATTCGTCGACCCGTAGGATGGGAGCCTTGTTCGACTCGTGATGGGTTGGAGCTCACTCCTTGCGCAGAATGAACGACATTTCTACTACTACGTTATGCGTGCTTTGTTTCGCTCTTTTATGCAGTCAATAATTAATAACAGCGCAGTTACGTCTTCTAGAGAGCGTAGAGTAAGCATGAGAAAGGAGACATTTTCTCATGATTGGATCGGTAGTTCTAAATAAATCATATTCTCTAAATGTCTTTTGCAAATTGTGTGCAATTAACTAAATAATACAGCAACTCGACACGAACGGCACATAGTGCTCATGGGTAGGACTTGTGGAAGTACGCCAAAACGCAGCATGGACTTGAATAACAACGGATTTGATTTCTTATTCGTTAAGCTTCATTCCTAGAAGTTGACATTTGAGCTCATTTCATCGCATATAAATTGCTTCTAAAAATAGATACTGTGCACCCCTTTTCGCCTTGGCATATATTACTGGGCTCTTCTTTCGGAAAGTTCTTCGATGGAAGTTAGTTCAGGTTATTACACCACAGCGTCCGCTAATTTAGCAACCCGCGTTTTCTTGGAGAAGTTCAAATTTTTTGCAATAAATCCTGGATAACTGTGGAAACAATTCAGCAGAAGCAGCGTCTAGATCTATTGAGCAGAAGAAGACGTTGATTATTCATGCCAAGATTTAATAAAAGTCGGTTTGAAAACTGCTGATTCGCTGTGTGCTAGCTAATTTAATAGCCAGTGCTTCAGGACGCATTGTTAGTCCAAGATAGATCATATTAAACAGGGAATCGACCAACACCAGTCTTGTGTAAAATGGGCCCTCTCGAGTGAGACTCTTCGTTCGAGCGGCTATCGTCTTCCATTGGGTTTGAGTCGATGCGGAACATCAAAGTCACGACAACGATCAGCTGTGTTCCATGGTCTCGGATCGAAGCCGTTCTGAGAAAGGTGAAGGCTTTGAAACGTTACCCTTATAAAACCTTTATACCAACCAGGTGTCAGCTCAACAATCGGACCTTGGGTTAGCTTAATAATCGAAGAAGGTAGCACTTAGATTATGACTGCTACAAAAAAAGAACACCTCCTCTGATAACATATTGTTTCCTTTTCCTTCAAAGACAATGAGAGAAACTTGAAAACCATAACTCGGAAAGGGACATTAACCAGCATGCAAATTTCCATAAGCTTCTCCTCAATTTTTTCCCACAACACAAAAAGTGTGAATAAAAAAGCAACTTAGTTCATTTAAAAGCTCGCATAATGTGATTGAAAATCTTCATTTGGTCGCCATAGCACTCTTCAGAGCCGCAATTACATGAGACGAGTGTTCACCGCAATTATTCCTTAGCACGAGGCTCTTCGCAGTTGCTTCGAGTAGGATTCCTTCGAGTGGAGCATCGCACGAACGCCGACCAGAGTAAAGATTTACAACAACCTCGCATAAGCTTGTCAGTAAACTACTATATTGACTACACAAGATGTTTCTTTTACTCACGTCCTTATGAATCAACATATTTTTTAAACTTATTATTTAATGCCTACTGTTTTCTAATTGCAGGGTATATTGCGAAATATAACTTCAATAATGCTGAGATCTTTGCAAAACTCCGGACCACAGGTGTCTGCAGTGCGGAACAAACGCACTAATGTCCTTTCCGGGGAGTAACGCGTTCATCATCGAACCATGCAGACCCTTCGTTTCGCTTGTCTCTCAGTTAGTTCTATCGACCTTTTTCAATCCCTCAGCATCATTGGAGTTATATTTAACAATATATCCTGCCGTTAGAAAAGAGCAGGCATTAAGTAATAAGTTTAAAAATGTGATTATAACTACAGCCTCAGCTTAACTGAGTTCGTTGCCGATTTGGGTCCCCTAGATCAATACCGCTGACGAGTGATTGCTGATGGGAAAAGATTGATAGAACTAGCTGATAGACAAGCGAAACGAAGGACCCGTATGTTGTGGTGGTGGACGCGTTACTCCCCGGAAAGGACAATAGCACGTTCGTTCCCCACCACAGACATCTGTGGTCCGGAGTTTTGCAAAGATCTCAGCATCATTGAAATTAACATATTGTTCTATATTTCTCTTTAATTAAATTTCCTTATGTGATGGGGCAGATAGCACAGTGGTATTGATGTCCGTTATCACTAACACGGTGCTAATTCGATTCCGCTTTGGGCCAACGAAGCTTCTCATCCCTCCGGGGTCGGAAAGTTGGTACCGGACTTGTCTGGGAAAAAACCGCTCATCGTAATTCAACTGGGAACGATCCAGCCCGGCTATCTCAGGGCTCCAGGGAGAATTGCTCGACCAGAATTCTATGACATTAGAGATGAAATGGGATTCCTCAAGCAGCAATCGAAGTCACACGTAAAGCTGGAAGACCTTTGTGGATGGAGGCGAGGAAGCGAACTGATTGTGAGAAGTGACGGTATCCGTACAGTAGCCGTGAAGACGGGCCAAATAAAATAAAAAATTACATCTTATCAAATAACTTTTAAAAATGGCTCAACAGTACCTTCGTTCATGACATGCTCGTTTGGATGTTGAAGCTGACTCTCTGCGGCTGCCGATATGACGAGTAGGAGTACATAGAAATACGATATATGGAACATGAAACTGAAAATACATGAACATGAAATTTTCGATCTATAATTCAATGGTAATAACAAATCGGGTTCGAGTCGGTTGTATGAACACACTTAGAAATAGGATGAGGATTGAGAACCCGTGACGCTATCCTGGTTCCCTAAAAGTTTTCGTGTCAATCTAGTTTAGAAATATGCCAAATCACACAAATTGCTTGAAACAAGAACGGATTTCAATTATGGCGAGAAAGAGCTTCGCTTTGTATGTGAAGAGACGCCGCGTATCAAAGCAACAGTTGTTGAGTTTCTATTCGCAGTGGTCAAGGTGTGCTTTTACATGGAGGAGGATGTAAAAACAACGAGCTGGAAAGTTCCCAGAATCGACTTTCTATTAACCACGGCATTGGAATGTGAATGCGTCGTTTTCTTGTTCAGCAATCGCGAGGTTTTTAAACAGCATACATTTACTTCCATAGAAAACACAATACAATACAACGCTAGCTGACGTTTCAGCAGTATCGCATTCTTCAGAGCCGCTTTTTTTCGTGACTTCCAATGAGGAAGCTTAGAACAGCTGATTATAGTCGCATATGGTTGACGACTCTGTCGTCAGCTGTTCATAGTCGTTCGGGAGCAAGAAACATCACAATTTTCGCCCTGACAGCTCTAATTTTTGTGTTATTTTGACTAAGGGCTGGACATCGGATAGCTCGCAAGATATCCTGGAGTGACGCGCGCCTTACTGGTTCAAGATGATTCCGAACTCTCGTAATTTGTTATTTTTCAATAAACTGACCATGTGTCATTTGTATTTGTGTCTAGACAAAAGAAAGCACACCCTCACATGATTACTGTATTAAGGTTAAAAGTTCGTTCAGGGTTTTGAAAACAGGTACAGGGTACTTCGATCGGTGACCTCTGGTTTCCTTCTCAATAGGAACTTAAAGTAAAGAAGTATACATGGAAAATATAACGCCTATTGAAAGAGTGGAGTGTATCGGGCGACACTGACACTGAGGCAGTAACAAATAATGATAGCCTTAGTGATGCAGGCTAAATTCACGCAACCTTGAATGCACGTTATATATATATATAAAAATATAAATATATAATATATCCTCGTGCAGGTTTCGAAAACTTCAGCGCTCAAAGCTGTCCAAGTGCTCTGGGTAGATTCCAAGAATCCAAAAATGAACCACAGAAAAGACTGCCTCTTTATCACATGCAGTCTTACGCAGTATTTAAAACTGAAATATTAACGTGAGTGAGGCACATTAACCTCCCGTATGAAATCGGTGCGGTGGTCTCCACGTGAAATACTCAGTGGAAGACTCTGAGAAAGCGGTGAACGTGGGAAAAAGCTCTCTTGTATGTATTTACGGTTTTTATCACAATGTTGTGAACGTTGCATCTTTTCCTTTTTTGTCATATTTTAGATCGAATTGATCAACAAGTCCTTCCTGCCTAGCCGTTTGAGTACGCACTTTTTCCTAGCTCAGATCGAAAAGAACCCATGCAATCTTAATACTGAATCATCAAGGTATTTTAATTGAGAGCTTTGGAACGCTAATATCAAGAAATAAATGAGACGTTGTAGCTGCTGAAACGAATGCTTAGCATTAATTTATCACCACCTTTATCATTTTACTACAGCCGTGTCATTTTTGCCAGCTCACTGTTTCTTCGCCTTTTTTTCTAAAAACTCGAACTAATGCCAGGGAAGTCTGTAATCGTTTCTCTATCGGGCCATACCAGTCCACATGCGTGAAGCTGCTTTTCTCGTCCCGTTTTCGGACTATCTTTTTTACCACCTTGAAAATGTTCGACAGCGTCTCTGGTAGTCGAGAATCGACAGTGTTCTGTTATTGAGGAGTTCAGTTAGGAAATCTATTTTCTTTATATTAATCACTAGTTCGCAGGGTACTCGTATTTTCCAAAGTCTTTTTATTGCATAGATTGAAAGAGATTTAATAGATGGAAGCAGGTGCCACGATTGTCGACGTAGACAGACATTTTGGATTACTTCTCTCACATGCGTGATACCATATACTCCTAGGACCACTCTATTAATGTTGTCACTGTTAGCCATCGGCTTTAACACCTATATCGAAATATTCTTATTTTAATACGGCTCCATAAAAAGTGACACCTATAATTTTTACCTAGATAATATCTCCACTTCGATAAATTTTTTGTGGAATGGTGAAATTCTGTTTGGAAAGACGTTGTATCGTTTATGGTGGACTTTTGCACGGTAGAGACACCATTGCAGGCCAGAGCTTCTATGATTCCATTTGTATTAATCGGAAGGCCATTTTTACATCGATAAAGCTTAAACGATGTGGCCTTATAGTTTTCTAAACGGACTTTCGCTTGAACTCGGCATGAATAATTGACATGTTTGTTTGTGTTGTTCAGCTCTGATCTCTTACACTCTCGAAACATCTTAGTCAATTTCTATCGAATATGGCGTTTAAGCATTTTCGAATCACTGTTTGCTCACAATCTTGTCTTTTCCCCAAAGTTTTCCTAATCTATTAAGGATAACTCGAATCGAACTTGTGCACTGTTCATGGTAGGCGGATTGCGCTATAGTTGCCGATCTCCTATTTGTTCTCTACTGCTTAAACACCTTACTTTCTATAAACTAACGAACAAGAAGTCGAATTAGTCCGTTATTGTCACTATACATTAGATCCTTCAGACGTTTTTCTTCTCGGGATCAAATACTGCACACCAAAGAGCGGCCAATTATTTCAGCAGTCGTTATCAGATCATGGTGTAATTCAAAACATCCAATGCAGTAAAGATTTAAAAAAGAGATATCCCTTGTCATAAAATCTGGTAATTAGGAAGTAGACCTCAGGCAGAAGGATTAAGATAGATCATTTTCAAGCACTTTTCCATTTTTGAAAGATGTGAAAGACCCACGACGTTAACAACGAGACTGTCAAAGGTGTTATAACGCTAAACGAATAACAAAGACATTGAACGGTATTGCCAAAGCCATATGAATTTCCTCTAACTTTCGGGGTTTCCCTGAAATTCTAGAGCAACTGAATAAATAATAGATGCCTAAGTAATCTTGCCAGTAATGAGAAAATCCAAGTAGGGAAAAGTAAGGAGATTCATCTGACTGGCCTAGGAGATCTGCTTAATAATAAAGTCAGTAGAAATACATCAGAGGCAAAATTCCTAACTTTTGATATTTCCGCTCTCGAATTCACTTTGCAGTTTTTAGAAGCTCCAAGATTATAGCACCATAACGTTATTTCACTTAATTTCACTGGGGAAAATAAGGATAACTAAGAAAACAAGTAAAAATCCAATCACAAGTCAATAACTTTAAAAACTGAGCTGATAGGTCACTTCCAGTTACACTGCGAAACTGCTCAGATGTGGTTTTTTCCACTCCGCTGTCATGGGGAGCGGGGAGCTATGAAGCAGAGAAAAGGCAAGGGTGTAAATGTTAGAGTATGGGAAATTCAGTAAAAATAGCAAATTAATTGATCAACAATAATTTCGTGTCTCCATGGTCAGGAAATGCGGTGCAGCGTGCATTGAACAATGAGATGAGGTGATTTTTTCAACTCATTCATAGGTCTCCAGTGGGCGGTGTTTACAAGGGTTGCTAGCCGGAAAAACACAGCGCGTGTGCTAAAAATACTATTGGGACTTTCATATACTTAGCGAAGCCTTGTCGTTCTGACAGCATGTCACCTTTGACAGACACAAAATTGTTTGGACAATTTATCGATTTTTTTAAGTAGTAACGCTTTCAAAAGCCTTCATAATAAAAGAGAACAGAATAGATAAAGGAAACGTGGACATGAGGGAAAGAGGACTACAGCGACGTTTTCGTCACAAGTACCGACCAAGTAAGGTGGAAACACACGACAGGCATATGGTGGCTGCGAATGGTGGTGGTCTGCTTGCCTAGTACAACCAACAACAGACCGTCCCATGTATAATAGTCGGTCATTTTCGGAAAATAGATACTACTAGTCGCAGCACAAAGTGCAACTACGAAAGGCACTTTGAAAACATTTCCCTGAGCTCTTTTGTTTTTTTGCTACGTTTGTTTTCATGGCGGATTAATATAATTTTCTGGGAAAGAACCTTTTCTGACATTAATAGAATGCATTCGGAAACCTTTCACTATTGATGACTATTTTTTCACTGGCGAACTTAGAAAGTTCGCCAGTTTCCTGGCTTAAGGTGACAGTCGCTTCATACACTTCCATAAAGCAAGATGGAAAAAGATGTTAAACTTTCCCAAAAAAAATATTTGTTAGCTTGATGTACGTTCAGCTACTCAATAAGATTCTTTGCACGGTGATTCAAAAAGCAATGGCTGATTTCTTTTCAGCATACGGTCAATGATGTTAATACGTGGCCCCATTCGATGAACATTTCAATTTTAGAGATTGGTTTTGAGTACCATGCCCCATTAAATTCAAAACCCCGAAAAAAAGGTTAAATTCTACACGTAATGTTAAGATCGAAAGTGAAGAAATATTAGGTATGACTGCAGCTAGCGGTGGAAACTGAATGCGACGGCGGTGGGCAGTCGAAGTTCGGACGCCCCATGTGCTCGGCCTAATCTGTGTCCGTTTACGCATGTGTTGAAATTTTAATAGAAAGTTCAACAACACGATTGTTTAACCAATCTCAAATTGGATAAGCTTAGTCTCTGTCTTTCGAGCACCAAAGAATCAAATTATAAGCTTTTTCACAGTGAAGACTATAGAATAAATCTTAAGAAAAAGTACAACTACTTACTGAGAAGATAGAGTCCAGATGTGCATAGGCATAGGCTAATGTATATGGCTTCTCTCAATCACATATAAAGTCCCTTGGGGATTTTCTCTGCACCACACTAATTTTCGACTAATCTTCTAATTTTGGGAAAGATCATAAACCTCTAATTAGTAATTTAAACAGACCGAATAGTATGTTGTGTGGAACATAATAGCTAAGTTTCTTGCTGGCGCGTCTTGCAGTAATTCCCACAACCGACTTTCTAT